GCTCGCGCACTTCCGGTCGTGATATTTACACGGAGAGCACTGTTCTTGTGGTGTGGTCGGCCTATCACTTATCTCCTCCGTGGGCGGATGGCTGCGGCCGGCGGCGGCGTGGCTGAAGCGGCGAGTGAATGATCTGAAGAAAGGCTGGGATGACACCACAGATGATGTCGAGCTGTACGCGCAGGGCAGCTACTTCACCGAGCGTGTGACCCGTGCCGGCCCAGCGCGCTGGCCGTGAAGACTGACGGGCCGTCCTCTGGCGTCCTCCGTGCATGGTGGCGACACTGCGATGCAGTACCTGGAGGGAGAACCGAAACACCAATCAGTCCTCCAGACTGTGCCGTCGGTTACTGCTTAGAATAAGCGGTTGAAAAAAAAACACCGACGAATGTTGTGCTGACGTGATAGTCAACAGAGAGGAACGGAATGGCGATTCTACTGCCGCGGCCCGCGACATTTTTCTTCCGCTAGATGGCAGGAAGAGCGAGCACAGTTCGTAAAGCTTTAGAGATCGAGAATCTCCGCCAGCAGTGCGGAAATGGCTCCAGATATACATAGAGCTGTTGAATTAGCTGCCATTCGTGGTTCCGAATCTAACGGCTTTCAAAATGCAGGGCATGCTTCGGCCTTGTCTTTCACCTACCAGTGAAATGTGCGCGCTCTTGCTCGACAGCGTCAGCTGGTACCGCGGTCGCCGCATCGACGGGTCTGGCTGGCCCCTCGCCGGCATCAGGGGCGACGGGAAAACCACCGTCACTCGTCAGTGTCGGGGCAAGCTGGTGTGCCTGCACCGAACCTGACAAAGGCAAAGCACGTGTCTGCATGAGGGGTAACGAGTAGCGAGTGCCATGTAGGGGAGAGTGGGGCAAAGCGGCCACCCTAACACTTCTCACGATGCCAACGCTTGATTTTTAAACTTGGAAAGATTCTTTCTATACCAATGTGATCCCTATTAAGTTGCCTTTAATTTCAACTGCGTTTTATTTCCAAAGGCGTTCACATATGAAAGATATTGACAAAACTTTAAACCTATGCATATTGGCCACTTTGCCCCATACCCTGGGGCAAAGCGGCCACCGGCGTCTTCTCAAGTCCCGATATGAGAAACAAAATAGTTGCCTCGTGTACGACTAGGGTATTTGATGGTGACAAGGTTAAGCGAGGATGGATGTTTACTTTATCATCTTCCACCTGTAGGTAAACAAAGAAAGGATTTTCATGAAAATAAACATTTAATTGCATTATTTGGTAACTCATGCAACTGAAAAGTGGCAAAGATGAATGCATGACGACACATTTGAATATAAATAATGTTTTTTATCCAGATGGAAGCAACTTATGCCCAATTGGGGGGTGGCCACTTTGCCCCGGCCACTTTGCCCCGCGCATACCGTCCGAGACAAAAATATTCCAGCTTAGCTATTAGTGGGGTAAAAAACATTAAAATTGGTAGAATACATGTACAATACCCATGCAATGCATGGACAAGAACGCTTATAAAAATTCCAAACGGTTATGGAATAACATAACATTTAAAAATTGTAAACATAGTTGGTAACCTGGCAAGAAATGCTTTTCCGTGTTTCACAGAACAATGGTGATGGGCCTGAAACCCCGGTCTGGCTCATTCGAACGACCGTGCAGAGAAGTATAATTGGAAACCATGAATTGGAACTGACGCCAGCTATGAAGGGCTAAAACGATGGGTGGCCGCTTTGCCCCGGGTGGCCGCTTTGCCCCACTCTCCCCTACCAATTTCCACCTGGGCCGAGCTCCACTATTCAACCCGCTATTAAGTTCAGAAACAATAAATAGCACTTCGACAACGCTGTCCGTTTTCTTCACCTCTTGTAACAAAATCGATTCCATCTAAACGAAAAAAAAACGCTTCCCGGAGCAGCGATTCCCGTACAACGCAATTTAGCGTGAGCATCTATCTGCCAAACTGCACGATCATTTCAATGGACAACTTACCGGCCCCTGTCGGTGTCGTGGTCCCTTCCAGGTAGGCGACAGCAGCCAGCGGCTGGTCCAGAGGGCTGGCGTCTCTCGCTATAACTGGGGCAGCGGAAGTAGCAGCTCCAGAAGCAGCAGCTCCACTGGCGAAGGATACAATCAGCCGGTTGTCCTTCGCTTTTGCGGTGCCGGCCGGGCCGGGTCGTAGGCAGCCACGGATGCAGCCTTCTCGGTAAAGCAATCTTGGCCTTCTCCGGTGTCTAGACAGTTGCGATTTTGATAATTGATATCGCCTTTTGGCAGTAGCCGCAGCGAACCGCGCTGGGCCACATCACTTTTTAAGCTCACTAATTCGCGATAAAAAAACGCCAATCCGCAAAATCATTCATAATCCTAATCAAGTTGAAGTTGAGGTTGAAGTTGAAGCTGTCCATGGAAAGAGGCCCCTTGCAAAGGGCCTGCGACTTCCTCGCTTTCACTTTTACTTTCTCTCCACGATATTCCTTCGTTTGGATGTTTTTCAACTTTGTGGCTGATTTTGACGATGCATCAGGCAAGCTTATTCATTGCTTGAACGAGACGTTGCCCAAAGCTGGTCGATTTGTTTCTTAAATTCGCTAAGGGTTGGGGCAGTAACCACTCTTTCTGGAAGAGCATTCCAGTCATTTAAAGCCCTCAGCGTCACAAAGTTGCGTCTTTCTCTGGTTACAGCTTTTCTTTGTATATTCGAAGACTATGAATCACAATAAAAAAGTACAAAAAAATCAAATGAATGAGAAGATTAACGGTAAACTGCCGTTACCAGTACTAAATAAACCGTCGATTCTACCCGAATCACTACTGCACAAGAATGTCGAATTTTGTTTAGGTTGTCAAGTTGTTTTCGTGGTTTTGCGAAAATATTTGATTTTCTAGCGCGAGAACACTGTGTGCGTTTATAATACGGGCGCCTCCTTGCTTACTTTCGAGTTACACGCTTAACGTGGTTAAATCGTGATCTGTCCATTACATTCCGTGGTATAGATGCACTGCACTTAGTTTATATATCGTCGAGAACCTTACCAGAATAACAGTTTTATTAACCCTGGCCCCGTTGGGGGGGGGGCCATTTTGGCCCCCCCCCTGTGGTTTTTCCTGAATAGCAAGAAAACGGCGGCGCGCAGCGCCGCCAAATTTTCAGTACCTTCCCGGGCATCAATTTGACACCTTCACACCAAATTTCAAGTCTTAGGTCACCTTAGGTCAGGAGTTATTGAGGTCAAACTGAGGTCATGTTCGAGCAAAAATGACCAAAAAACATGCAATCTTGAAACGCTCACCAAATCTACAGTTATCAAGCAATTTCAAAGTTCTTTATATGGTGTAGTAGACAAAAAACGGCGCTACAAAACTGCTATCTCGGATTTTCAAAATTTTGGGTTTTTGACCCAAAAAAATTCAAAAAATTGATTTTTTAGAAAAACTAAAAAAAATCCAAAATTTTTCCGAATTTCGAAAAAAACCGGAATATATGTGATAGTCCCTGCGCTCTTCTATATACACACCAAATTTCAGATCGATATCTCGTTTTTTGGCCAAGTTATAGCGAAAAAAACTGTTCAAAAATGATGACGTCAAATTTTTGAACTCAATTTTTAGCGATTCTAGACCACGTACGGCAAAACAAAGACCACCATTGAACTCCCCGTGACGAGCTGCATCGATTCGATACCCATTTTATGCAAAAATATTAACTTTAAAATTTGACCTAATTTGACCTGACCTTGACCTGACCTTGACCAAAACGTGACCTAAGCTGGCCCCAAAGGCTGCCTGACCCACATAATCGCATTCGTCATGTAAAATGGACCATAAAACATGTATCACACGACACTTTCATATTGTGACCCCCCCGTGACCTGACCTCTGTGACCTGACCTGGTATCAGTGACCTCAAATAGCAAAATATGTGTTTGAAGAACATTTCCCCATCGATGACTTTCAATGAAATGCATTTTACTCGATTTTACAACGCATTTCTTGAAATGCCTATAAACGGTGAAAATTGGACCTTTGACCTGACCTGTGACGTCATCGGTTTGACCTAGGTCAATAAAATTGGGTCACAAGGTAGTTCCCTGATAGGGCTATCCAACACCGTTTGCCGCTTGTCGCTAGGTTGCGTGGTTCTCGAGATCTTAGGGGGGGGGCCAAAATGGCCCCCCCCCCCCCAACGGGGCGCGTTGCTCGGCAGAGCCCAACGGGGCGCGGGTTAAACGTTGAAGAAAGTATGGTCGATAACCGTTTTCAGGTCGGTTTTTGACAGTCTCCTACACAGGCAGCATAATAAGTGGTTTTTAACATCGATAGTTTGTTAGTCTATAACATCAGTTGTATCCTTGAAATAACTCTCAAAGCTGATATGGTGTAAGAAACCGGTGAAAAGGATGTCCCGCTGCCGCTCAAGTCGGCTGGAGGTCTTATTTTGCACGTGTGCACGTGCAATGTCACCACTACGACCGCTTGTTTGTCGCCATATGGCGTTGCTCTGGTATAATGTTCATATTCGAATGAAGTCTTTTGTTCTTAGTAAAACTTTAAATCAAAAAGGTTTTTTGTACTGTGGTAGGTGCAATGAGCTCTTCTTGAAAATTAAGTACGTCTATACGACTATGTATGTGTGATGTATACCTATTATCGGTTTTTATGTTATATTTTTCTTTAATAATTTTACATAGAAATGTAGAAGAAATTGTGCGTGTTTATGATGAGGAAAGATGGTAAATAGGCGCCTTTTCATTTTGTAAAAGGTAAAAGTAAATACCGAATAAATTATTGATAACTTTCACTCTCTCCTCTTAACAGAGCTGCGCACAATTCGTCCCTCTGTTTTCACCCTAGCCCGTCCTGTTGATAAACTTTACACTTAGGTATAAGCTATAGTTCGTTTTTTCTAAGTTCGACCCTCACTGTAAACGTCTCTTTGAACATAGCATGAGAATTGGTAGCAGAATTACTGAGAAAACTCGTTGGCCCACAATGATTTCGCAGACGATCATATCTACGAAATGAAAGTTCGCCTTGTTCATTCTGCCAATATGAAACGCCCCTGCTGATATGGCACGAGGATTCAGATTTCCAACGTTTCGCATCACTGCGTCTCAGTCTCAAACTGCGTTTTATCTTGGCGCGTCTGCAAATTCCATTCTTGACACGCTGTGATCACTTAACTGCTGACGGTAGTTTATGCTCTGAAAATACTTTTAAAAAACTCCCGTGTTTATAGTGCGAATAACAGTTCCAGTTTGGTGGCACGCTCAGCTATGCCGGGGAAGAAATCTGGCAAGAAGTCGGCAAACATCGTGCCTGACAAGGTTGAGGTTCCTCCTGAAATCAGCGTACCCGAACCGCCCGAACCAAGCCCTGTGCCGTTTACTTCTTGCACGGGTCTGGATAGCGCTCAGGAGGAAACCGAGCAGGAAGATGACGAGGAGGAGGAGGAAGAGGAAGAACAGGTGGAGGAAGAGGAAGAAGAGGATGACCTGCTGCTCTCCCTGCTGCCGACGGGCCTGTCGGAGCTGTCCATGTCTGTCGGTGACAGTGGCAGCGTCTATTCTCGACTGACCCTCAACAACAAAGGCATCGAGGATATCCGACACATAGACCACTGTCCCAATTTGCGGCACATTGATCTGTCGCACAATAACATCAGCGACCTCTCGCCGCTCGGTGACATAATGTAGGTTTGTATGAAAAAGTGTGTTATTGTTAAATGAAATGACTGTTGCTTTAGTCTGGATTGATAAAGTTTCATATTTGCTAGTATGTTTCGAGGTGCAAAGTAAAGTATTACCCATGCAATCCTTGTTAATTATTTGGTTGTCTCTTTGTATGTTCTATTTCGACAGTTTCGTTTCAGCTATCTCATCAGCCTGGACAGCAGCTTCAACTGCCTGACCACAGTTCTCGGCTTTCGTCCGGGCTACTGGCTGCAGATGGCCGATCTCTCTCACAATGTCATCACCAGCCTGCCGGACCTGGGAGGCTTCTGGGCGCTCACCACCCTCAGGATCGACTTCAACCACATCCAGAGTCTGGGTAGGTGATGTGGGCTACGATCGCGTAAGTCCTTGAGACACTGTGCAAAGCAGTAAACTTTAGCCGTTTGGAAGTCAAGGTGCCATCACGCATCACGCTTATGGCACTGGACCTTTATTGCATTATTAGAGTATTTTATGTACCTGTCTTTGTCTGTTATCTGTTGAGTTGAAGCTTGGTTATTTTTTTTCAGAGGGCGTGCAGCAATGTCGCCATCTTCGCGTTCTAACAGCAAGTCATAACGAGCTACGGCGGGCGAACGGCATCCAGGGTCTCCCTCTGCGCTCGCTCGACCTCAGCCATAACAAGATCGAGACGACAGCGCTGCTGAGCACACTCTGTCAGCTCCGCTTCCTTGACCTCTCCTGGAACCGCATCCAGCTGTTGCGCGGCCTGCACGGCATGAACCACCTACGCTCTGTCAGCTTGCGCGCCAATCCGATCGCCGACCTGGCCGAGCTGGACGGTCTGCGCGGCCTGCCCAGTCTGGGCAGCGTGGACCTGAGCCGCTGCCCCGTCTCCGAGTGGCCGTTTTACCGAATGGCGGTGCTGTACCACCTGCCGCAGCTGACGCGGCTCGACCAGCAGCCCGTCTCCGAGCAGGACACGGTGGCGGCGCTGGACGCCTTCGACCCGCGCCCGGCGCGCCGCGCTGCCGTCGACCACGCCCAGCTGACGGCCCTGCGGCTGCGCCGGCCGGCCGTGCTGGCGCCGGCGCCCCCGGCGGACTCGGCGCCGGCGCCCTGGGACGCGCTGCTGCTGGTCGGCCCGGCCGGCGCCGGGAAGCAGCTGCTGCTGCAGCACCTGCTGCCACAGCTGCCGGCTGACAGGTTCTGCCGCGGCGTGTCGCACACCAGCCGCCCGCGGCGACCCGGGGAGCGCAGCGGCGCTCAGTATGTGTTCGTCAGCCCGGCCCAGTTCGCGAGGCTGCACGCCGAAGGACACCTGCTGGAGAGCTCTGAGCTGTTCCAGGCCCGGTTTGGCCTGTCAGAGGCGGCCGTGCGCGCGGCACGCCGAGCCGGTAAGGTCCTGGTGACACACACAGACCTGGCGGGCGCACTGAGTCTGCAGCGTCGACTTGCACGAGTTCAGCTTGTGCTAGTTCTTCCGCTCAGTGAGTCCGTGCACCGCGCCCGCCTCGAGGCGAAGGAGCGTACCGAGGCTGACCACCTGCAGCGGCGCTGGGCGCGCGCCGGCGCCGCGCACGGCCCCACGCGCCCGCTACTGGCCGAGACACTGGCCGGATCAGTGACACCTCGCCAGGCCGAGCTGGCGCCCAGCGAAGTCGGTCAGCTCACACGCACAGCCTCCAGTGATGTACCACAGACACCGGAGCTGAGCGCGCGCACCGAACGACGCCGACGCGCCAACGTCGCTCCCAACGAGGATATTGCACGAACCCGGGAGGTAACCTCTCTGACCGAGCTGGCCACCCTGGGCCGCGGCGCTAAACCCAAACACGCCGAGCCGACCGGAGTCAGTGAGGGTCCGCCGCAGACTCCCAGCTCGAGCAGAATACCCGAGCAGCAGGTACCCGGCTGTCCGTCCATTGTGGTCGACCAACCACTTGAGGGTGTTTCGGGCCTGCCGACTTCAGCTGCCCTCAGCGAGGAAGAGCTTAGCGGTACCACTGGATTCTCTCCGGCGTCAACTGCCCAGAAAATCGATTCGAAAGCCCAGTCTTCGGTTACTTCAGTCAACTCGGATGCCGAGTCGGCGTTCGAGTCTGTCCCGGAGAGCACTGCCGCCGAGAGTGACGCGCGAGTCCCAGCGGAGAGCCAGCGCAGCTCAGCTCCATCCGAACCTCGCTCTTCGGCTCGTAGCGCGAGCGACCGAGAGGCTCCCGGTGCCGACACGACTCCGACGACCAGCGGAGACCGCGAGGAGCATGAGGAAGAGGAGGAGAAGGAGTTGGAGGAGGAGGACATTGTAGTGCCGCGGGAGTCTGACTCGCTGTGGAGTGTGCGGCGGTCGTGGCTAAGGTTTCCCGACACGGACGAATGTGCCGGCCTGCCGACTGAGAGGCTGACGGAGATACCCAGCTACGGTTCGTTCAGGTGAGTCTCCTCACTCCTTCTACGAGCACACGCAGGTATGACTCGTGACCGTAAGGCATGACATTAGAACATGCTAGTAGTACCTAAGTAATTGGGTAGCTGCATCATTGGACACTGTTCAGAATCAAATATCCCCTTCCACTAGCGTATCATAAGGTTGTTAACAAATTCCAGTCATGTAAATGATTGTTCATGAGTACCTTCAGGCCTCTCATCATCGGTTCAGCGAAATCAGCCACAATCCACTGGGAACGATCTCTTTTCCTTCCCACTACCCAAGGTTAGAAGTCATAAGCACAGGCGAGTGGGATGTTGTCAGACAAGGTCAACAGGCACGGTCTCATTTGATGTTCATGTTCCCGTCGCTATGCATTATCAATTATTACGGAGCGAGCGAAGCGAGCGGAGTCTCATACTGAATTAAGGGAAAATCCTGAGTATGAGCGGCCGGCCGGCCGTGGGGACGCTCTTCAAAAGCTAATATCTTAGGAACGGGACATCCGATTGACAAGCGGTCTTCTTTACTGAATGTCACTTGGACGTAAAAGTTCTGTGGTGTGATGGCCACCATGCGTTCTTGCCTACCACCGCACGTGGCGCGTGGTAAAGTTGGACATTTTTTAAGAACCCCCAAAATTGCAACCTCAATAACGGCACAACGGTTGGGCCGATCGAATTGAAACTCAGTACACAGTTAGGTCTCCATCAGATAATTCATCTGCATGTGTTAAGGTTGGGGTGCTACAGCACGTGCGCACGTGCAGGGGGCGCTCCCAGATCTCGAGAACGGCTGGGCCGATTGCGCTCAAATTTGGTACACGGTTGGGGACCAGTTAGTAGGGTGCCGTGCAAAAGTCAGTTTGAACCCCGCTTGCACGTGCGCACGTGCAGTGTGCCGCTTCCAGATCTCGAGAACGGCTAGGCCGATTGCGCTGAAATTTGGCACATCGCTAAAGACCGGTTAGTAGGGTGCAGTGCACAAGTTAGTTGGAGGTACCCCCTTGCAATTTCGCACGTGCAAGGCCCATCCTCTCGCTCGCTCCGTTGGTCGCCCAAAAGGCGTTTTACTGGTCATATTACATGCCAATCGCTGTGCAGTCGCATGTATCAGCCTCGGCTGCTTGCTGGGCTGTTCCGAAGTCATGAGGTATGAATTGCATGTCGGACGATGTCTAATCCCAGACATAAAATCGAGGAACGTCAAATTGCAGTCGAATAATTGTCCCCATGGCGGAAGTTGACATACACGACTCTGCGTCCTGATGTTCATTCATAGAAATCTGATCAAAGTTGAGAAGTATTTTTGGTTTATTATTTACGGTATTGGCTGTTATTAGCTTCAAACATTATGACACATAAAAAGATTGAAATTATTCTGTCATCAAGTGTATTTTCAACATTTGACATCATATATTTTAATGAAGGATGTCTTGAAAGTGCTTTCCTGCCTTCTGTTTGTCAGCATGATGGACCGTTGGGCCCGCGCCGGAGCCGTTCCTGAAGTCCTGGGAAAGCCGCCCTACCTCGGCGTCGATAGCCGAGCCCTATGGGAGAAGTCAGAACCCTGCCTGCCCATTGAGGCATTGGACTCAAGCAAGGTCAGTCCGTTTCTTTGGGAATTGTGTGATTTGCCAACCAGTCGCTTTTTCTCGTATAATAAAATGCTTTTAGTAGCACCATTATTAACGCTATTAGTTAACAGCTTCTAGCGCTCTATCTCTGATTAAGCCGGCCTCAGTCCCAGAAATAATGTACATAGTCCCAGCCTCATGCCCAATGTGACCCGAGCTCGCTTTTCTCTTCTCTTTTTTGGTAATCATCCATCCTTCTGGGCCGTCCTTCGTCGATCCATCGGTCTATCTGCTCATCCGGCCTTCCGTCTGTTCATCCGCCATCATCCGTGGACCTGTGCGTCGACGCAATCGCTCGCCGCCGTTCATCGCGCAGGCTCGTTGCGGCGACGACCGTCTGTGCGCCTACTCCGCCTCCCAGACGGCCTCCATCCTAGCGCAGCGGCAGACCTACCTGTCGTACCACCTGCAGCAGCCGGGCCTGTTCCTGGTGGCCGTCAACTCGGACCGTCCGGAGCTGGCAGCTCAGCAGCTGGCCCAGCAGCTGCGGCGGCTGCTGCCGCTCACCGGCGCCCAGCTGCTCGAGCCGCGCTGGGCCTGGATGGAGCGGCTGCTGCGCCGTGCGCCTGTTGTCAATGATGCAGCCGCTCAGCAGCTGCGGCAACAGCTGCGGCAGCTGGAGAGCGTGTCGGCTGGAGGCGCGCAGTGGGAGCAGGCTGCCAGTGGGTGAACGTGGCCGGGGAGCGGCGAGCGCGCTGAGGAGAAGGAGGGACGAGGGTCGCTGAGGTACCGGTAGGGCGTGGCGTGATGGTGGTTGCGGGAAAGAATACCGATGAGGAAGGGCTGACTATCAACACCGTAGGGAAACATAGTCCGTAGCTGAGGGTTGTCTGGGACTTGACATGAGCGCAGCCGTTTGCAAAGTGTGTGGATGGCATCCTGACACGAAGTTGACATATGTGCCCTATGCCTAAAAGTATACATAATGGTGTAAAATAATATACGAAATAGCCAACTTATTTCTTTGAGCTCAGCTGACGTAGTTATTATATTTATGATCGCCCACATGTTAACCCGCGCATGACTGGGGTATTTTTCATAACGCGAGTGACTGAGGAGGGCTCTCCAGAGCCCCCCCCCCCTTCTATCTCCGAAACTACTGAGCCGATCGTCAAAATTCAAATGGCGTCTCATAGCCCCGGAAAAACTGTCGATCGAAACCTATTTTCATTGACCTCGAGGTCACTGATGACGTCACAGGTCAGGTCAAAGTAAAAATTATCGGCATTTTTGCTTGTTAACAATTTAGGCTGTGGCCGCCGACTGACATGTCCGATCAGGCTCATTTTTGGTTTACGCAGTCCTTGACATATGCCTTAGATACCCTGAGGGTACCGAACTTATACTTTGAATTTTTCAGGTCAAGGCCAGGTCATCCTAGGTCACGAAAATTGTATATCATGTATCGGTCACATGACGCATGTTTTATGGTCCATTTTACACGTAGATTTCGAAAGTAATGTCGTCTGGGTCATTTGAGGTCATTTTCAGCTGAATTTACCGGAGGTCAGGTCAATTTCAGGTCAGAAAAGGTCAAATTTTGAAAATGAAATTTTTCAACAAAAAAGGTGCCTAACAGATGCAGCTTGAGCTCAGAAACACGATGGTGCCATTTATATTGCTGTACGATGTCAAAATCGAACTAAAAAATGATTTTGAAAAATATATAATTGTAAAATTTTGACAATAATGCAAATAACTTGGCTATTTTTGAAGATATTGGGCTAAAACTTGCTAGAGTAGTTGATCAGTGTGTGTTCTATCAATTATATTCCGGCTTTAGCAAAAAATCAAAACCTTTTGAAAAAAAAAATCAAAAAATATATTTTTGTAATTGTAAAAACATAATTTTCAAAATTTTCAAAATTTCGAAAATTCGAAATAATAGTTTGATAGATACCTAAGTGTATTTGTAGTCCACTGATACAAATAAATTGGATCTAGCTTTAAAACGGAGCTCTTGAGAGCGTTTGCCGTAATTCAATATTTTGCATCAAAATCGGCCGACACGACATCACTCTGACGTCATTTCCGGTGAAACTCTTGTAGCTAGAAAGTTGAAAGTTTAACACAAGGTGTCAAATAGATGCCGCTGAGGGTATTGCAAGTTTCGTATTGATCAGTGAAACGGTTTAGAAGATATTGCCGAAAAACGGGAGGGGGACTCTGTAGAGCCCCCCCCCCCCCCTAGTCATGCGCGGGTTAACCCGCGCCCCGCTGGGGGGGCAGAATCTGCCCCCCCTCCCGTTTTTTTGCCAATAACTTCTAAACGCGTTACGCCACCGACGTCAAACTTTCAGTACCTTATCATACATCAATTTGACACGTTCCCTGAAAATTTGAGCGAAATCCGTCGGAAAATTTTTGAGAAAATGACGTTTTAGTGACGTCATGTTCGCCATTTTCGCCTAAAAAAATCGTAAAATTTCAAACGCCGCTAACATCTTCATTTTTAACCCGGCAGGCGGTGGGCCTACCAGCCACCTTCCGCGCGGTGGGGGGGGGGGCATATTTTTGCCCCCCCCCCGTATCTCCGAAACTACTGGACGGATCCAGAAAATTCAAACGGCTTTCGATAGCCCTGTCAAATTTGTTGAGGGAAACAAAATTTCATTGACCTCGGGGTCACCAATGACGTCACAGGTCAGGTCAAAGATAAAATGTTTCACCGTTCACGGGGCTTCTAGGGAAAGCGCTATAACACCGAGTAAAACGCATTTTGTCGAAAATCAGCGATAAGGCGTCAGTTGTCTAGTACATATGTTGCTATTAGAGGTCACTGGTCATACCAGGTCAGGTCACAGGTCAGGTCACCGAAGGTCACCAAGGGTCACCACATGAGCCCAACTTTACTAAGGTTATGTGATGCATTTTTTATGGCCAGTTTTTCATTTCCAACTCAATGGTGTTGGTTATAAGACCATCAGGTACGGTTTAGGTCACTTTCTGGTGGAGGTCAGGTCAAGGTCAGGTAAAAAAGGTCAAATTTCAAAGTTGATATTTTTGCATAAAATGGGTATCGATTCGATGCAGCTCGTCACGGGGAGTGTAATGGTGGTCTTTGTTTTGCGCTACGATGTCTAGAATTGCTAAAAATTGAGTTTGAAAATTTGACGTCATCAATTTTGAACAGTTTTTTCGCTATAACTTGGCCAAAAAAAAGAGGTATCGATCTCAAATTTGATATTCAGATAGAAGGCGATAGGCACTATCACATATATTTCGGTTTTTGCGAAATTCAAAAAACTTTTTGGATTTTTTGGCTATTATATTCAAAAAATCTATTTTTTGATTTTTGGGGGTCAAAATCCAAACAATTTGAAAAACCGAAATAGCAGTTTTGTAGCCCTTTTGATTCCACACCTTTTATGTTTTAAACATTTTTCTGTATCTCTAAAGCTGTAGGCCTGACAGCTCTTCCCGCGAAACCTTTTTTTGGGTCGAAAATGGCAAAAATGACGTCACTCTGACGTCATTAGCGGCCAACCTATCATAGCCTTTGGAAAATTTTTTGGTCATCATGTGCGCTAGCTGCTCCCGGGAGGGTACTGAAAGTTTGGTGACGATCGGCGCAGCGGTTCTCGAGATATATAAAAAAAAAAAAACTAAAGGGGGGGGGGGGCAAAAAAATGCCCCCCCACCGCCTGGAAGGTTAAAGGAATGAAGACGTAACAAAAAAGGTTATACGTGATTCTACTTTGTCTATGAAATGGCTATCTCGGTTTTTTGAAAATTTTGGATAATGGCCCAAATTTTTCCCAAAAAAAAACGAATTTTTGGGGAAAATAATTATAAAATCCAAAATTTTGAGTGTATCGAAAAAACCGGAATATATGTCAGAGAAGTGGTCTATGTGCACCTACATACCAATTTTGAGAAGAATCGGTTAAAAAATGTGGGAGTTATTCAAAATTTTATGACGTCACGACACACAAAATTTTTGAAAAATGAATTTTTTGGAAGTTCTAGACCTCGTACGGAAACAAAAATAGCACCATTCGACTCGCCGTGAAAAACTGCATCAGATAGACACCTTTTTAGGCCTTAACAACCAACTTCAAAATTTGACCTCACTTGACCGGACCTTGACCTGACCTCGACCTGAAATTCATCCAGAGGTGGTCCATATCACTAATTGAGTGTGCCTATTGAATTCTATGAACAAAATGACCCATAAAACATGTGTCGCACATACCCTTCTCTATATTTTGTTTTTGGTGACCTGACCTGACCTGACCTGACCTTGACCTTGACCTTTGAATGATATTGTATACAACGAATATTGTCTTGGTAGCCTAAGAACACGTTTTGGGCAATCAGTCTCAGTCCATTCTTCGGCAATTACGGTGCAAGGCCGATACTGTAGAAACTTGCATTTTGTACCCTTGACCTGACCTGGACCTGACCTCTGACCTACTTAAGCAAAAAAATTTGAGCTCTTAAGATTTGCCTCGTTGAGAGCTTTCGATTGCCGTTTTCCCCGTCTTTCTACGACCATCGGTTCGGAAGTTAGACAGGGGGGGCAGAATCTGCCCCCCCCCCCCCCCCCAGCAGGGCGCGTATGGCTGAATAGCCCAGCGGGGCGCGGGTTAATCTTCGTTTTGATAGACCGTTCTAGGTGTATATCAGTAATCTGCACTGTTGCATTGTGTGTACTCCGGACCATAATGTTATAATTGATGGCTGTTTGCTCATTGCTGAGGTACATATCGACTAATAACATTTCGTCAATACCAGTATTCGCCATTCAGTGGAATTCCTTGGAAATAATGCATCATTAGCCAAATAATTGTTCCGCCCTGTCTGCTTCGTGAAAAATGGCCTAATTGCCACCTATCCTGCGTGCAGCGAATAATTTTCCCAGCCCGAACTTATGCATTATTCGGGAATACGGCATTTTTTATGACAGGCCTTTAGCTAGTTTTGTAGTTTCGCCTTGATAACCACAACTGGTAAATGGTAATACGGCCATTGTTCGTCGTATTCTATTTACCCAGGTCGCTGATACAGAGCATTGAAAACGACTTTCCAAATTGTTATGGTGTTGCTGAATTTCTTATATTATCTCTCAGACTCAGACTCAGACTCGTTCAGCCTTACCAGTATAGAATTAGTTAGTAGATCCATAACACCGTTGTCAGTGTAGCTATATGGCAGTGCCTATTTGACGCCATAGCACCTACGTCGTGTTTGCGTGTCCCCGCACGCTCGCCCCTTCCCCCCTCCCACACACACACACACAAATATCTAATGAGCTGGGGTGGTCAGGAAAAGCACAGCTGTGGCGCGACCTGTGGATGATGGGGGACAGTCGCACGCTCGTGGTTCGGAGTACTGTCGTCGTGACAACAAGCCGCACCACTACTTGGGTGGGGAAAATGCCCTGCACATTATCACTACACACAGCTTGCCCGTGTGTGCCTCTTCACGTTGGCCGACACACACCTCCAGCATTTGCAAGAAGAAACCTGCGTCGGGGTGATCACCGGTGCAGCAAGTGGTAGGCGATGGCGCAGCTCAGGACGCCATCGCTGATGCTGCTGACGCCTCTGATCCTGATGTTGCTGGTCGTGCAGCCTACATCTGCGCTGGTGGCCAGCGCTCGGCGTGGTCAGGACCGTCGACTGAACGGTGTTGGACCCAGAGAGCAACAGAGCGGCCTCAGTCAGGAGCAATGTCAAGCATTGTGCTCGCAATACAACTGCGGCAGTTTCAACTACCACGCCGCAACGGGCGGATGTGAGGTGCTCAGCCCGACCGCGTGTGAATCCTACGGTCTGTACGTGGTACGCTCCACCGGCTGGCGATGGTTCGACGTGGTGTCCGACCTCACGACCGAGTCCAGTCAGGTGCTGTGGCAGCGCGAGGCCTGCGTCCGCGACGGTCGCTGCCGGGACTCATGTCTGCGACGTCTAGGCGAGAACTGCCGCCACTCAGACCAGTGTCAGCCGCTCGT